TGACACCTATGGCGGGGGGTACATGGGTACACACACGAAAGATTCGAACGGGCAAGCTGGTGACTCCCCCTCCGGGTACACACCATCCTTAACCATGCAGTCCTGAAAAGGATCACTCTCAACTCTCCGAGAGTCAAGGCGCCCCGCACATTAACTCCACCGGCACACACGCACACGCGGTGACACGGATAGACTTACAGCAGCCTATGCCCCTCCTTGTTGCCATTCGGTGGATTGAACAGCAAGGACAATGGATAAGACCTTAGGGTCATGGTGCCTAAACGAAAGCCACTTCTGCCAAGGAAAACAGGAGCATTCTGCAATATCTCATCGCACGTTCAGGGTGCACCGCAGGAGGTTGAGGCAACCAAAAGCGTATACGGCACATCGCCGTGCTGCGCCACACGCATCATACGCAAGTGGTGGGGTGAATCTGAGAACGCACGGCGGTTGCTACTGGTACGACCTTGAGCTTCAACCAGGTGTAGACGAGCCCACGTATCATATGTAGCAGGCGAGTGAGTGCTTCGCACGACGTGTGGATCGGTGGAGAGCGCGGCGGGCAATGTACAGCTACCCATCGCGGCTGGAAGTAATGCCCCCATGCTTCCTCAGCCCCTCCAACGAGTTATTCCAACATACAACGAAATTGAATGCCGTAACGCGACACGGTACTGTCGTATGCGTACACAAAAGATGCGAGGTTTTGAGTACCAGTAAGTACCAGTATCATCACACACGTCGTACAGCAGCAGTCTATGCTACCGCACCGTCTTGACTAATTGCCAGGATTGTACGTCTCGTGTCGACGAGGAACAAATTTGTAAATCATGAAACATTTGAGTAATGCGTTGGAGAAAAGGAAGCCATTCCATACCTGATTGCATGTTGATGTCGAGTGCCACAGCAGAACAGCAGTACACCAGTGCTTCGACGAAGAAACGAGACGCAAAGACGAAAACACCAGCGTGCGCGCGGCAGGGTAGATTGTCGATGATCGATGACGAAGATAGGATCTGACGGAGCCGCTGTAAGATAGCTGCATCAGCACCAGCAGCGGGGCGGGTGAGTCATGCCTTGGACGCAAGCATAGCGGATCACGAGCCAATTCCTCCATCAACACTCTAGATTTCGGAACTCACCGCAAACGCTGACAAGGAGTCTCAATCCCCTCTCTCTTTGTCCTGTCGAGCTGTGTCTGGTTGCGTGTGCCGTCAGGATAAGCAGTGTAAGCTAAGCGCAAGCAGTGAAAAAGAAGAACCTGCGGCGGATTTGTGGTGAGGCATGATTTGTGAAGGGGGTGATATCATTTGGCGGTGCCCCTCTTGTCGTGGCAATTGACGGCAGCAGTCACAGCAAAACCAAGCAACAAGGCTGTTGTGCTCCTTAACACTCTGATTATGGCAGAAGGGTTCACAGCCGCAGACTACGTCACAAGCCTGCCTTTGTCGGAGGTGCAGGGTAAGCGATTGTGGCTCTTGAGGGTCCCTCGACATATCGATACATCCAGACTGGAGGTGAGAGCATGTCTGCCGTGTGGTGTCTGCAGCTCTGGTCTGGTAAGAGAGAGAGAAAGAGCGAGAAAGAGAGATAGACCCGTGACCTGCGTGGGGCCGCCCCGCTGTTGGCGGTCCATGACCGCTGCTGTATCTACATGGCACATAATGTAAAGTCTCGACTCACTTTGTTGGTATCGCCATTGTATCATCGCATGTCGTAGGGTGAGCCATCGCCAATAAAAATCAGGCCGGACAGAGAGACCGCACTAGTTGTCGTATCGAGTTTGTGGGTCGGGGTATGTCGAAGCCACCAGGACCTGTGGCCGTATTTGTTTGTGCCACAGCGTCTGTTTGCTGTGCACGACAACATTTCAAATAACCACCTTGCTGGTTGATACTGCTGTCCACTGCTGCTGCTGTTCGCGTACGCATACCACGAAACGTCTGCTCTCTCCGTCGACAGGGTGTCAAGGTTAAGCTGCCACGAAAGGGACGGGAGGGGAAGGTCTTGGGCAGGGCCAACAAGCGAAACGATAGCCAATATAGAGATAGCGACGAGGAGGATGGAAACCGAGATGGTGAAGATTTGGCGCTCAGGGCAGGAGACGTTGCGGAGACCCATGGGTTCCGGGCCCTGTTCAGCTCGCAGGAGGATGGCGCGTTGGCCGCTGCGCCTCCATTTGTTGGCCAGGTGCGGAGGAGGGTGGGTGTCGGCGACCTTGACCCACAGAAGAAGAGAAGAAGAGAAGAAGCGGGTCTTGCGGTACTGGGTTGTCTCGTCATGTCGTGTTTTGTACATGCTCGCTCGATGCAATTTAGGCCCTGCGGATTATTGTACAAAACCAATGCTTCCGTCAAATTTATGGCACAATATGCCAACTTTAAAATTATGTTCAAAACTATGCATACATCGATCTATCCTGCCGTACTTGCGTAGATGCATAATGCATGGGATCATGTGCTGTTGTATTGTTGTGGGTGCCCCCAACAGACTAAATAGAAATTATCCACTCACACCCTGAAACGAGGTGTTATGTGTTGTGCCTTCACACTACAGCAGTAGCCCTTCTACAGCAGTAGCCCCCCCTCCTCCGACGTTTGTTCTTCTCATTCAACGATGGTAGTCACCCCCCGGAGCAATCTCAACGGAGATCCGGCATATGGAATAGAACTGTACGAAGTAGTTATCTGCTGCTGTAGATACCCCCCAGGGAGTGGCGGCTTGGAATTGACAAAACTGCCAGGAAACTAATCGGTAGATCTACCTACCCCCGTCAGTAGCTTGGATCCCGATAGCGTTATATCACTGTATTGTATCACTGCTGTGTTATTGACCAAACGCTCCGAAAACCCGCGCAGCTCTCACGCCGCGGCAGTATGTACGTGCCCCTCCTTGTCCCGCATGGCCTCAAACATGGGTCTGTCTGTGCAGCCAGAGTTTTGAGTTCCATTAACCCGTCGAACACTTGATGAACAGCTCTCGAAGGGACTTTCCGGCTCGTCATGGAGACGGTTTCGCTTTCGCTAGTAGAAAAGAGCTTCGATGTCTTCGGCGATGCGCGCCTTGAATGTCGTCGCGATAAGACGTCAACATCCCCTCTCTCTCGTCAGTAATCAAGTCGAATCTGATGTGCTCACGAACACAACGTCCTTGGAAATAGAAACCCGAGGGAAACCACCCACGACCTTGATATTTCAAAACTTCATGTTCGGGTTGACTCTGAAGATAGGTTTAATGTCTAGGAAGGCGTCTCTCTCTCTTTCTCACGCGCGCACCGCGTGCAGCTGTTTATTCCAGCCGTTTCTTCCTGCTTGACGCATGTAGCTTTGCATTCCATGGACGAGCACACGTGTGTTTCAAACACGAGGATCTGACGGCTTATGATGAGTGAATATTGATGCAGAGCTCTCCCAAACGCCCCTCTTGCGCCTGTCGTTAATCACATGCCTGTTTGCTTCTCCTATTGTAACAGGTGAACGTTTCAGTGGACATTCCAGATGTTGACACGTCCGTTGCGGGTGGCGACCCACGCGTAGAAACGTTCGTCGAGCCCTACCAGGGACGGCCCCAGCTAAAGGGGATGCGGGTGCGTTACAAACCGGCCGGAGCAGGATCAGGTGGGTGGCACTCTTGTCTACTGGTTATGCTGCTGTCTTTGTTGCTGTTGTCTTGACATTACTATCCGTACAAGTATCGGTCTCCGCCCGGTACCTTGTAATGTCCGCACTGGTCCATCTGACGCGAACGCCTTCCCAGTTGTGTCACCCGGTGGCGATGTGCGTTTCGCTGGGGAAGCTCATATTGTAGGCCATTCTGTATCATTCTTTATCCGAGGGCGCCATCTACATGTATGGCACTGCCGCTGTCGGCACGGCGCGGGGGGTCGTGCAGGGAGGGAGAAACCTTAAACTTATTTTCTCTTTTTCTCAGAGGATACTGAAAGAGCGTTGTTTGAAAAATTCCTGGTTTGGCAGGAAGACTACTACCCTATCAAACAAACCTGAACATTATTAGCCTTTCTTCTCAGAGTATGCGGAAAGAGCGTTGTTCGGAAAATTTCCTCGTTCGACTGGACGATCATTACCCTAGTCAATCGTGCCTGCACTAGCAGCTCACTCTGGTCGACTGCTGTAAATTCCTGCTTTGACACAGACACTGGCTGTTGCTGTTAGTATGAACTCTACACGCAACGGCTTGCGAACGCGCATGCTCACTTAAAAGAAAAAACACGCTACTGTACATTACCTCCCACCCAGAGTATTCGCCGAGTCGCCCGCTAGCTGGACGTGAACAACCAAAGGGTCGCCAAGACCATGAAGACGGTGCAACGCCGGCTACCCCCGACCAGGCGAAAAAAGCGAAGAAAGACTCTGCGGCCAACTCCAGAGGAGCAGCAGCGGCGCAAGCAGCAGAGGTTTCTGTAGAAACGCCGAAAAGCTCCAACAAGAAGAGAAAGTCGAAGGCGGGGGGGGGTCATGCAGTGGAGGAGGGGCACGGAGAGTCTTCGACCAAGAAGTCCAAGAAGAAGAAAGGCGTCGAAAGATAGCCGCCGCCATCTGAATGGGAGCTTGTACAGAATAGATCGACATTGGCAGTGGTAGTTGCAGCGGGCATCGATTGCGTTGGACGCATCTGTATTTTGTCCAACCGGAGTTGGTTTGAATGTTCACTCGTGGGCTGTGGGCTACGTAGCATGTGACGTGAGCAGGCATGGATGTCGATCCCGCTCGAGAATGTTAATGTTTGCAGCTGGATCAACGACCCACCGGAGCTTGTACATGTTTGGATGTATTTCGCTCTTGACTCATGGCTACACAAGTTAACACACGCCCTTGACCATTTTTCCAAGCTTGATTCTCAACTGCAGGGGAACAGCCACAGCACCAAAAACGGTGGCGTTGAAACCGTCTTGTCGAGAGCTTTTCGAAAATGTATCGTTTCGTTCATGCATCCTCTTCGTCGTGGAGTAATCGAGCTTTGAAAATCGGTCCAGGGGGTGTGTTATATTGTGTCATATATGTTAGGCAGGAGCGTGCCCACCGCGTGTAAATTACGTGTCTCTCACCCAGGCATGCACCGAAGTCGTGCATCTGTAGCTGACTACAAGAGTTGTAAGGCTAAAGTACAACGCTGCCGTTCCGAAGAAAGACCGATTGTCAACGCTGCAGCCCTTGCTGCCGCCCATGACTTCGACAGAGTTTGGTACGCAGCTGAAACATACACGGAGTTGATTGGTGCAATTAGGAGTAGGCTAGCTTGTCATGTTCAGATACGAGGCGTGGCATTGTGTGTCTGACATCCTGATAGGATTAAGATTTGACGATTTGCTGGTGAGACGGCAAACACTCGAAAAACAAGCATGATTGATATTTTAGTCTCCTTTACCACTCGTCTGTGCGGCCATATGCGAGGCGTGGGACGTTCTCCAGGGAGTTTAATTCTGCGGCCGAAGGCTGCTATTACTGGAATAGTCTAGGTATTTTCTGCGACTCTAATCTACAGCATTAATGCCGTAGGTGACATGAAGACACCGCACCCGCTGGACCCATTTGAAAACCCTCGATGATGGTAGAGTAGAGGCGGGTATTAAAGGCCACTTAAGCCACCCCCTGTGCCAAGAGCTCGTTCTTGAGCAGGAAATCGAATTTCAATGACAATGTGGTATCGAGCGATAGGCAAGATCACCCCCCGCCTACCTAAAAAAAAGAAAATAAACGTCAACAGCAGTGACCAGGTAGGGCTGGAGCTGCAGGCCTGAGCTGCAGGCGCCATTTTGAGAGTAAATTACCCCTGGGGGTATTAAAGGCCACTTTCATCATTGGTTGATTTCACACGTTTGAAAGCGTTTTAAGACCCAAGATTTGGTGGGCATGCGTAAAATACAAAAGGAATGAAGAAAAAGTAAGACAAAAAAATGATCGACATCCATCCGGGGATGAAAGTGACGTATCCCCGGGTTTTCGACACCATGGGTAGGGATGGTTTTTTTCCCTCCATGACCTGTTTTGCGTGCTGTGTGCGTTCGAAACGAGGCATAACAACCAGTTTGGTGCATAAATGTGTTATTCCAGTCAGTAGACGACTCGAGAAAAAAAAATAACGGCAAAATGAGTTGTCTACGTCAAATGGTACTTGGTCAAATATGGGTACTTTTTCCTGGTTTAGCATGCCGCTAACGGTAAGAATTCACGCCGAACACCGCCAAACTGTATCCACCATTGAGGAAGACTCGTTCATCCCTACGACACAACCTTTGGAGGGGATCTTTAAACATGAGTGAGAAACATGTTCAGAAAATAAAAAAAGCCACCCTGGGGACAGAACCACCGCGTCCCCGGGTTTTCGGTCACAACCTGTGCATCCCTCCCCCCCCTGGTACAGGAACGCACGAATGTCACCATCAAATAGGGAACGAACCACACGACGTTCTACAGGGTATGTTTCGACTGTACGCACAATTCNGACTCGTTCATCCCTACGACACAACCTTTGGAGGGGATCTTTAAACATGAGTGAGAAACATGTTCAGAAAATAAAAAAAGCCACCCTGGGGACAGAACCACCGCGTCCCCGGGTTTTCGGTCACAACCTGTGCATCCCTCCCCCCCCTGGTACAGGAACGCACGAATGTCACCATCAAATAGGGAACGAACCACACGACGTTCTACAGGGTATGTTTCGACTGTACGCACAATTCCTTGCCCATTGGAGCACACCTGATGATATATTACAGGTCACATAAGGATACTTTCCCCCGATTTTAGGCTTTTGCCGCTACGGTAAGAATTAACGCCGAAAACAACCGTAGTTTCAACACCTTTGCACCCCCGCGACGGGTGCTTCTGAGGGAACCTGTAAGCATGAGTGAAAAACATCGATGGCAAAAAAAAAACATACACACACACACAGGTCACCCGGGGACAAAATGATGACATCCCCGGGTTGGGTTCAAAACCTGTGCATCCTGCCTCCCCGGTGCTGGCACGCCCGTAAATTACCGTCGCATAGCCTACGAACCACATGCGACGTTATACAGGGTGCATATCGACTCCGGGTGCAACCTCACGACCATTTGGGCGTGTTCGATTCAAATCCGAACCTGTCCGTACACGTGAGAGATATCCATACGGCTACACGTCGACAACGGGTGTCGGCGTCCGTTGTCGTCCAACCCTGCACACGGAGGGCGCTGGCTGACATTCCGACAAAGTCGTCCCTTCTGCTTCAGCCACCCGGCCGCGCCCCTCCACCCGGTCGCGCCCCCCCCCCCGGCCACGCGCTCCCACCCCGTCTCCACGACCAACACCGCGGCCCCCGCCTCCCTCCCCCCGCNGGTCCCTTCTGCTCCAGCCACCCGGCCGCGCCCCCCCCCCCGGCCACGCGCTCCCACCCCGTCTCCACGACCAACACCGCGGCCCCCGCCTCCAGCCCTCTTCTCTTCGCGGACTTTCGCCCTCGCAGCCTTCGCGTCGCTCTCCGCTTTGTCTGCGCGTTCTCTTTCTGCAACAGCGTCCAGGAACTCAGGCGCGGTAATGTTGCCTCCGCCGGGAAGGCCAAGCGATCCCCGCGAGGTCGCCATCTCCTTCGCGCGTTTCCTTTGAGTCAAGAGGCCACCGAGTAACACCGTGCCTACTCGGATCCCCGTGACGGTGTGCCCTTGCCCCTCAGCACCCTGAGGGCCCTTTCTCCGATGTCTTTTTCCAGCTGCTCGTTGAGGGCGGCGATGGGGACATCCTGTAGGGGTGGGCGCTCGTCTCGCCGCTCTTTCTTCTTCGCTGTGCCCTTCAGCCGGCCCAGCGCCCGCTCCTTGTTCACAGGCCACAAGCCCGCCCCAGCGGATGATGATTTATTTATCTCCGGTGTAAAGCTCAATTTCCAAGCATCCGCGATCACGCCGGGCATGTCGCGTTTCAGCGGTAACAACCCGCCGGAGCTGTGGTAGAAGGACGCCAAAACTCTGGTCACCGATTTCTTAAAGCGTCCGAAGGTGACGGCATCCAAGGGCTGGGTGATGTGCGACGTGTGGGAGGGTAGCTGGAACAAGATGATTTTGAGATTCATGGCCAGCCTGATTACCTCCACGCTCACGTGTGATGCATGTCCATCGAGCAAGAGTATGTGGGGTTTCCGTCGAGCAACCCTCGGTCGCCGAGCTGCTTGTGGAAATCCTTCAAGTAGACTATTCAATGGCGATGAATACGTCTCCCTCCATGAACGAAGAATCCGTATAGGTGTACCTCGCACCCTCCGGGCCGTTTCGCTCTACAAACCAATCGACCTGAAGTCTTTGCCCTTTGAAGATATTGGTTGGTGCCCAGGTGTGACCATCAGCGCTGATGGTAGCGACCACGGTGGTGCTATCTCGCGAGTTGGAGCGCATCGAACCAACCACCTTCTGCCCTGATTCCGCAAACGCCTTCGTCGTCTTGGTTCCTTGCGGGGTGGTACCTGCAACGGGAACGCG